CTCGCTCTTGCTCAGGCTGGTTTCAAACTCCTGAGCTCAAACAATCCGCCCACCTCGGCCTCCCAGAGTGCTAGGATTACAGGCGTGAGCCACCGCGCCAGGCCTTTTATTTTTTTTAAGATGGGAGCTATTATAGCATATCTGTAAACTGGTAAGAATGATCCAGTAGAGAAGGACAAGTTGATGATGCAAGAGAGAGAAGGAATAATTGCAACAGGAAAGTCTTTAAGTAGGTGAGAGGGGACGGCATCCAGGGCCTCAGTGGAGAGTTGGCCTTAGGAGCAGAGACAAATCATTCATAACAGGAAGGCAGGCAGAGTGTGTGCTGACCAGTTGGTAGATTTGGGGGAGTACAATGAAGTTTTCTGATTGCTCCTATTTTCTCAGTGAGAAAATTTCACAGTAAGAGGGAGAATGTGCAGAGAGGTATTGGACTTTGAGAAGAGAGGAAAAGTTGTGAAATAATCATCTGAAAGAACTGGCAAAGGAATCAACCAGGGAAAACAGTAGAATTGTCAGGCATTGCCGAAGGTCCCCTTGGGGTTTGCGGTTATAGATTTAAAGTGGAAGAAGTTAACATGGCTGTGCATTTTCCTCCAGCCAGATTCTGCTATCTGAGTGCAGGTGTAGAATAGTGGATTTTTACTGGCAAGTTACAGTAGGTGAGATGTTGGATTTATTATAACCAGGCTGAGGATTTTGCCAGACAACTAGGACAGAGAGAGACAGAATCAAGGGAGTTGAAGGAGTGGTTATAATGATGAGCCTTAGAACCTGAGCTGAGGAAGAAGGGAAATGAGAAGGCAAGGGATGATGATAGAAGATGAAAAAGCGATAAGGTCAAGGGATTGAGGTACCAGAGGAGGCAGGACATGCTGGAGCGGAGGAGCTAGATAGAATAGAATTGGAATGACAGGAGGGAGCCTCACATAAAGGGAGGCCTGAGATGGAGATTTGGGAAGTGGCGCATTATTTTGGTAATAACAAAGTCGGAAGCACAAACAGAGGAGTGGAATGCTGAGATGCAGCAGAAAAATCTTCGGAAGTGAGGAGTTCAAAAAATTGAAAGGCCCAGGTTGTCTGTTTGGATGCTGAGGCCACTGAGAATAATGACAGAAGCAATAAGAAGAAAAACAGTGAGCCAGGAGCTGAAGAGCTGTAAGGAGTACAGTAAGAAGGACACCAGGTGGCAGATGAGCTTCCAAGAAGCTGGGAGGTCTTAGGAAGAAGTGATGAAAAGCAAAGAGGTCACTTCCTTCATTTGCAGGCCCCAGAGGGAGCTGGATTTGGAAGAAAAACCAGTCACTGCTTGACAAGGCTACAAGGAATGCTCTACCTTCAGTGGAAAACCTGAAGGTTCCAGTAAGAAGAAGAAAGGAAAGTTTCAAAAGTCAGAAGATGTAGAGGATTTTGCAGATAAAAGACTATGAATTTCAGGCCAGGTGCAGTGGCTCATGCCTGTAATCCTAGCTCTCTGGGAGGCCGAGGCGGGCAATTGTTTGAGCTCAGGAGTTCGAAACCAGCCTGAGCAAGAGCGAGACCCCGTCTCTACTAAAAATAGAAAGAAATTAATCGGACAACTAAAAATATATAGAAAAAACTAGCCGGGCATGGTGGCACATGCCTGTAGTCCCAGCTACTCGGGAGGCTGAGGCAGAAGGATCACTTGAGCCCAGGAGTTTGAGGTTGCTGTGAGCTAGGCTGACGCCACGGCACTCACTCTAGCCCGGGCAACACAGTGAGACTCTGTCTCAAAAAAAAAAAAAAAAAGACTATGAATTTCAGAGACTGGTTGTATTTTTTAAAAATCCATATTAACACATTTTAACATGCCTGTTAACAGCCTGGAATGACCTGACCTGGAATGCCAACCCAGAGTCCATGAAGTTTAAATCCCGACTCCCCAGAGTGAGCAGGAGAGAAGGAATGAGCCAGTAGAGCACCCTACTGAGGGGATGCCCCTAGGGGGTGGGAAGTAATCACAGATGCTCCTTACAGGCCCTCCTATACTGAGAGTCTAGGACTCCAGTGAATCTGGCTGTCTTTTTATTTTTTATTTAATTTTTTTTTTTGAGACAGAGTCTCACTCTTTTGCCCGGGCTAGAGTGAGTGCCGTGGCGTCATCCTAGCTCACAGCAACCTCAAACTCCTGGGCTCAAGTGATCCTTCTGCCTCAGCCTCCCGAGTAGCTGGGACTACAGGCATGCGCCACCATGCCCAGCTAATTTTTTCTGTATATTTTTAGTTGTCCGATTAATTTCTTTCTATTTTTAGTAGAGACGGGGTCTCGCTCTTGCTCAGGCTGGTTTCGAACTCCTGAGCTCAAACAATCCGCCCGCCTCGGCCTCCCAGAGTGCTAGGATTACAGGCGTGAGCCATCGCGCCCGGCCTGTCTTTTTATTTTTGATAAGCCCCTTTCTACTGCTGGGCCTCAATTTCCATATATGTGAAGTGAGGAGTTTGGGCTGTGTTTTCTCTTGGCCTCCTTCTAGCTCTGATAATCTGAGAATCTCCTGGAAGCCAGTTCTGGATCCAGCCCTGTGTTGGAGAAAGGAGACCAGAGAGGCACAGAACATGCACGAGAATGCAACAGCATCATCTGCGGGGAGCGTAAGGCCCAGTACTCTCACCTACACAGACACAGACAGCATCTTTTTTTTTTTTTTTTTTTTTTTATGAGACAGAGTCTCACTCTGTTGCGTCAGCGTAGCTCACAGCAACTTCAAACTCCTGGCCGCAAGCGATCCTCCTGCCTCAGCCTCCCAAGTAGCTGGGACTACAGGTGCACGCCACCACTTCCGGCTAATTTTGTTTGTTTGTTTCTAATTTTAGTAGAGATGGGGTCTCACTCTTGCTCAGGCTAGTCTTGAACTCCTGACCTCAAACAATCCTCCTGCCTCTGCCTCCCAGAGTGCTAGGATTACAGGCGCAGACACAGCATCTTTGCTTTCCTAGTTACACACACATCCCAGGCAAGAAAACCCAGAACCATTTACACATGCAGTTGCCCACACCCTTCCTTGTGGTCACAATATCATACCATATTGTACTCATATCACCTCATAAACACAGTGTCCCACAATCACCATCTCACAAAATCTCAGTCCAGAGACCTTTACCTACCTTGAGCAGGTGAGGCAACTGCTGAGTAGCCAGTTCCTTAAACTCGTTGATGCTGAGGCTGCCCTTCCGGCCCTCCTGCCCCGCGAAGGTGAAAAAGGTGGTGACTACTGTCTCGATGGCCATCTCCAGCTCAGTCAGTGGTTCTGCTGCAGCCATCAGGACCCTGGGGCTGGAGCTGACGTCCTCTCAAGGCTGACCTTGAGAGGGGACAGGGAAGGAGCAGAGAGGGAGTCAGGGAGTAGGGACACAGGAATAGGCCAGAAGGCCCCTGCCTTGGTGTTGCCACCTCAGGCCTCCCCCTGGAGGTCACCATGGAGAAAGAGGGAGGGCACAGGGGCTGAGCTTGGGGCAGGGGACCAGGCAACAGCTCCACAGTTTAGGTGGGGGTGGTTGTTTCAGTTCCAGAAACCTTCCGTACGTCTCACAGTCTGAGGGTCCTTTTCAAGTGGTGTGTCTTAGGGACCCCTCTGTGGTGGTCCCTCAATCTGGAGACTCCTCTGGGAGGAGATTTCAATCTGGGGGTCCTTCTCTGGAGTCCTTTCCAGTCTGGCAGCCCCTCTGCGGGGTATCTGTACCAAGGGCCCCTTCTTGTTGTCTCATCCAGCCTCACAGGGTCATGAGGTTGTTTGTCTCCAAAGAGTGTTTATGTTGGGACCTGGTCTCCAGCTGCCTGCACTCTGCCCGCCCACACACACTCTGGCCGCTCTTCCCAGCAGAGAAGCCCAGGGTCTGGCCAACGGCCAACTGTGGTCAGAGCTAGCTCGGTCTCGACAGATCCATCTTCTCTGCTCCCCAGCCCCTGCCTGTCCTCAGGGGAGCTGGGCAGAGTGCTGTGCCCAGGACCCCACAGATTCTCCCACTCCTGTCTCCCAGCGACAAGGGTGCTTGCAATAGGGCTCCACTGAACCGCCGCCCGCCCACGACCCAGGAAGGGTTGGCACCAGTACGCACAGCCCCCTGGGGTGCAGAGAGGAGGGCTGCCCACTCATCCATCCCTTTTCTGCCCACACCCCCACACTCCTGCAGGAACTGTTGCTGGATCTCCCAAAGCCACTTCCTGAATCCCTGCCTGAACTGGCTCTGGGGGAGGGACCTGGGAGCCTAGGGAGAAAAAGGATCCCCAGGCTCCTTCCAGGGTTAAGGACACGCGACTCACCAGGGCGAGGAGACGGGGCAAAGCGTGCAGGAGCCGCAGAGCTGAGGTTTATAAGCACAGGGAAGGGGGGGGGGGGGGAGAGAGAGAGAGAGAGAGACACACACACATCCGGAGCAAGAGCCGCTCCCAAGGCTGGAAGTGTCAAGTTTCCGTGGTTGATTCTGAAGAGAGGAGACCGCCCAATCACGCCCCTCGCCCTGAGCAATCAGATCTGGCCCCGGCCCCCCAACCAGCCCCACAGCCCCACGTGTGCCCCCACTTGCAGCGGGAGCTGCCTACACGGATCCCACTCGGTGGGGGTCCTAGAGTCTATCCCTCCCAATACCCCACCACAACCCCACATCTAATCAGGAGTCTATGTTGTGGGGTGGGGAGGACACTGCTTGAAAAAATCAACCGAGGGAGCTCAGCACTGAGAGGCCCCACCTGAGACATGCCACAGAGGCCCCCCAGAATAAGACCCCTCAGAGAACCCCAGACTGAGTGCCCTATAGAAGAGTCCTAGATTGAAACCCCTCAGGAAGACTCCCAAGACTAAATTACTCACTAATTACTCACCGAGGGTCCCCTCAGTGAATCCTTCCCTTTACCTGCCCTGCGGGCACAGCCAGCCAGGGCTGCACAGCCCAGCTGTGGAAGAAACATCTCAGCGACCTTCCCAGCGCCTCCCTTCCCACCTCCTCCCTCCTGTAGCTTGTTTGCTCCTGCCCAGCGAGAGGGAAGCGGGGCAACCAAGGCTGGGGAAGAGACACAGGGCAGCCTGTTCCAGCCCAGGAGACAGAGGGCGCCTCTGTCCTCTCCTGGCCCCTTGCCCCACTGGGTGTCTGTCTGTGAAGGGGTGGAGCCGGTGGGGCGGGGGTCAGCGGGGGAAGGACACTGAAGACAGGTCTCCCCACACAGCTCCAGCAGCCACACTTGCAGCCTCGACTGGCCGTCCAGAACCTACTCCCACCTCTGGCCCCAGCTGACCGTGAGTATCACCTCCCCCACGCCTGGACTAGGGCACCGGCCTGGCCAGCCTGGGAGAAAGCAGGCTTCCAAAGGGCTCCAAGAGTCCGGGGATGATGGCATTTGTGGTGCACTGAGGATCTGGGGGGAGTCAGCCACGCTGAGGTTAGTTTGGGATTTGGGGGAGACAGGACTTAGAAGGTAGTGAGGAAAAGCAAGTAAACTGAGGGTCAGAGAGAGCTGGAATTCAGTAAATGAGGAAACTAGTGGGGAGCCCACCACCGAGCACCCAGGCTACCTGGCCCTCCCACACAGAGCCCTGAAGTCCCCTGCCAAGGTCCCCTCATCTCCCAGAGGCTGGGGAGGGGACCCAGCCCTTGCCTCCCATGGGGTAAGAGCAGAACTACAGCTGTTTCCGCCCACCTTCCATCCTCAGTCTCTGCCACCCCCACCCAGCCTTGCCAAGAGCTCAGGTCCCAGGGAGTCCTGGGGGCGACAGAGCATGACTCCTGTGATATCAGGAAGAGCGGGCCCCAGGTGCCTGCCCAGTCCCAACTCGACCTTCCACGGGACCTCCCCTTTCTCCTCCTCCCCTTTCTTGGCCCAGACTTCCAGACTCCTCTTTCCTCCAATTCTTTCCTTTTTATTTTTCTGTCTGCCCTGCCCCCAGGTCCTCTCAGAACTGCCCCTACATAAACACGTAAAACCCCAGGCTGCTCTAGGGCTCCAGGCAACCTCCAGGTGCCCCTCCTGGATGGGGCTGGTAATCGAGCCACCAGCATCCCTCCCTCAAGTACCCCCTTATCCTCTCCATCAGCCTCGGCTTGGGTTCCATCTCCCTGTGTCTCTGTGACAACTGCTTCTCATGTCCGGAGTTCAGGTGACACTCACAAGGGCCCCATTGAAGAGCTGGGATACCATCTGATCAGGGCCCATTGTCCAGCCCCCCAGGCCTGGGGAGAGTTGGAGACACCTGATCTGAGACACCTGAGCTGCCTCCTGGGGCAGTGGAGGGCCTGACTGTCCCAATGCCAATAGCAAGAGGCCCCCTGGCGTGGTAGTCCCCTCTCTCAACAGACCCCTCCATTCTTCTCCTGCTCTCTCCCAGACCCTGAACTCAAAGGACCTTGCACACTCAGCCCTTTATTTCCCCAACTCATACCAGTCCCACTGTCCCCGCATTCACCAGGAGTGGGCAGCCACAGGGACAAGGCCCACAAGTCTCTTCTCCCCCTCCTGGCTCCAGGGAAAAGGCTCAGACATTCCTCTCTCCCTTAACACCACCCACCCGATGGAAGGGATAATTTTGCAGAGAAGTTAAGAGGATTCAATTTGGAAGCAACAGGAAGTATACCCCAGAGAGGCCAAAATGACATATTCAGGAGAGAACAGAGTGGAAGGACTAAAGGGGGCCCCCAGGCTGCTGATAGGGAGCTCAGAGACAGTGAGACCTCCCTCCCCAAATCCCCAAGAAGTCTTGGGCCACCTACTCAGGCTGCCACCCCCTCCGTTGTGCTCACTGAAGTGCCAGACCGACCCCTTGCTAGGGGTGGGCAGCAGAGGCAAGGCTATAGAGGAGACCCCAGCCCACCACCCCCAACAGCAGAGCTTGCCTGTGCGAGGCAGGCAAGGTCCAGGGTAAAAATAGAGCCAGGGGAAGCCTGGCCTGGTCCTGTGACCACCCCTGCTGCCCCACCCTCCTCAGTCTCTGCAGGCCTCTGGAGCCAGCCCAGCTCCAGTGGCTCTCTCTCCATGCCCCAACCCTCACTCCCTTGGGCTGAGGTACAGATTGAGTGACACAGAGAACAGATCTGGATTTAGGTCTGTTGGGGTTTCCCTACATCGTAAAATCTCAGTGAAATATCAGTTGCAGTGGGACTCTGATCTCATGGCTATCTGAGCTGAGGGAACAGGGCCTGAGGGCTCCCCTCACCTGGACCCCAGAATCCCTGGGCCTGGTCCCCAGCTCACTTCCATTGTTGGGGGGGTGGGTAGGTGCACTGCTGTGATGGGCTCCGAGCTAGAGACAGCAATGGAGACCCTCATCAACGTGTTCCATGCCCACTCGGGCAAGGAGGGGGACAAGTACAAGCTGAGCAAGAAGGAGCTGAAAGAGCTGCTGCAGACCGAGCTCTCCGGCTTCCTGGACGTGAGCAGAGGGTGGGGGTACAGGGTGGAGTGGGCGAGGGGTGGGGCAATGCAGTGGGCACCTCTCTGCCATCTCTCCCCCAACCCCCAGCTCAGCCCAACCATCTCCCTCCTCTCTCAGGTTTCTCTCCTGGGTTTTCCCAGGTTCCCCTACTCCTCCTGGGTCAAGTCAAAAATGCCCTGGTTTAGTAGTCACCTGTTAAGTGCTAGGCCCTGTGTAAATTCATCAATAATAAGATTCACAGTCTAGAAGGGAAAGACTGACACTTAAAAGTAAACCATGGCCAGGCGCGGTGGCTCACGCTTGTAATCCTAGCACTCTGGGAGGCCGAGGTGGGCAGATCGTTTGAGCTCAGGAGTTTGAGACCAGCCTGAGCAAGAGCAACACCCTGTCTCTACTAAAAAAAAAAAAAAAAAATAAGGTGGGACAACTAAAAATATATAAAAAAAATTAGCTAAGCATGGTGGCACATGCCTGTAGTCCCAGCTGCTTGGGAGGCTGAGGCAGGAGGATTGCTTGAGCCCAGGAGTTTGAGGTTGCTGTGAGCTAGGCTGACGCCACGGCACTCTAGCCGGAGCAACAGAGTGAGACTCTGTCTCAAAAAAAAAAAAAACAACAACAAAAAAAGTAAACCATGATGACCCCATCATCTGGACTACCAAAATAATGAAACAAACAAAACAAAGTAAACCATGAACTTCAGTAAGTACACAGAGCCTTAACAGGGGTGCTTTCCAGAAAGGGTTATAGGAGATAATTAACCTGATGGAAGTGAGACAGCTTCTCTGAAGAGGTGGCACTTGAGCCATGGATTTCCACTGTAAGATTACTAGAGTAAATGTAGACATTTTAGGAGGAAGCATCTGCATGAACAAAAGCACAGGAGAAAGAAAAATATGGAGCATGCCCAGTAGTTTAATTCGACTGGCATGAAGGATGCAGAAATGGGGCCACGTAATAAAGAAACCTCAGGATACAGCATAAGGTGCACCAGCTTTGAGGTTTTATTAGACTGGGTTCAAATCCTGGCTCTGCTTCTTTCTAGCTGTGTGTCTTTGGGCACATTTATTTAACTACCAACTGTCAATCTGTTTCTTCTCTAGAATGGAAGTAATGAAACCTACCTCATACCATTTGTATTGGAATTAAATTAGACAATGCTTGTAAAGCGCCTAGTGTAGTCACATGGTAGGCACTCAGCGTATGGTAATTGATGTTCACAATAACAAGTTAAGCAGATTACTCTGTAACAGGAGCCCTCCAGTGTTTTGAGGAGGGCAGCAGAGAGTCCCATAATTAAATGAAGTTCCTCTCCTCCTCTTTGTCTCAGTCTCCTCAACCACCTTCCTTGCCCCTCACTCAGTGCTATACAACTCCCTATAAACCACCCTCTCCCTCTCCTCCTGCACAGGCCCAGAGGGATGCAGATGCTGTGGACAAGGTCATGAAGGAGCTAGACGAGAATGGAGACGGGGAGGTGGACTTCCAGGAGTATGTGGTGCTGGTTGCTGCTCTGACAGTGGCCTGTAACAACTTCTTCTGGGAGAACAGTTGAGCAGACAACCCCAGTGGGCAGCGCCCTTCCCCTCCACCCCGCCAGACCTGCCTCTTCACCCTGCTTCCACCTCACCCCACTTATCCCTCCCCCACTCCCACCCTTGCCCACTCCCCCTCACACACATACATCAAGGGCGCAAGAGTAGCCGTCCAGGCCTGCAACTCATCTTTCATTAAAGGCTACTCTCTCACCCGCCATGTGATGTCTGTCTCCTCTTCAGTCTGGAAGTAGGTGGAGAGGGCTGCTGACTCCCAACTCCTCTTATTTTGGGAGGGGTCTTATTTAGAGAGAGGTCACAGTGCATTACATCTTCCTACTTGAGGAAAGCTCACGACCCAGGAATGTGGAGGTTCAGGGTTCCAGCTGGAAGTGGAGGAGATGTCAGCTTCTCAGCTATAAAAGCAGAAGAATCTCCTTTCAACCTGCAACCAATATTTACTGAGGTCCCTACCATATGCTAAACTGGGGATACAGCACTGACCAAAATAAACATAATCCACAGTCCTTTGCCTCACATGGTTAAAGTTCAGTAAGGATGCTGGGCCATTAAACACACACACACACACGCGTACACACGTACACACACACACACACACACACACACACACACACACACGTGCCAGGAAGGAAAATGAAAGGGTCCTGATGCCCGTATGGGGCAGAAGAAGGGTTGAAGATGGCGGGGCCGGTGGCTCACGCCTGTAATCCAAGCACTCTGGGAGGCTGAGGCGGGCGGATTGTTTGAGCTCAGGAGTTCGAGACCAGCCTGAGCAAGAGCAACACTCCGTCTCTACTAAAAATAGAAAGAAATTAGCTGGACAAATAAAAATATATAGAAAAAATTAGCCGGGCATGATGGCACATGCCTGTAATCCCAACCACTCGGGAGGCTTGAGCCCAGGAGTTTGAGGTTGTTGTGAGCTAGGCTGATGCCACAGTGCCCTAGCCCGGGTAACAGAGTGAGACTCTCAAAAAAAAAGAGAGAGAGAAGGGTTGAAGATGTGTTCATTCATTCATTCCTCAATCATCTGAGCACCTTATTTTGTACGCAGGCATAAGGAAAATCCCTTTGTTGGTCTGCATCAAAATCCACATGAATGGCACGCATGGCACGCGGGGAGGGAGGACATGGAAGGTGGATCAGGGATGCAAAGGTCCTCTAAAGAAGGATTAAACAATATTCAGGCCAAGTTGGGGAGGGGAGGAAGTGAAGAGGAAAATACGGACGGGCGGTGGTGGCCGGCACAGGATGTGCTAGAGGTGTGCTTCCAGCATTGGCCTCCCAAGCCTTGGCTTGGGCGTTTACAACCGTCTGAACAGAGCAAACCCGCATGAGCGGAGAGCCAGTGCAAATTACGCGGGCCCTGTGGTCCGGAAGAAACCGAGGCAAATCCCGTGTAAAGATTTTTAGACGGTATGCCTTGCTTGAGGGCGTGAAGGCGAGGGAATACGGGACCGAAACCTCCTCTCTACGGCCCAGATTACAAACAGCACCACAAAGTTGAGCGCAACCCTGCCGCGAACCGTTAGCACCCGCAAGCCCGAACCACAGGACCCTGGCCACGCCCTCCGAGGGCGGAGCACTGTGTGTAACTCTGGAGACACCGTTGCTAAAGCCCCGCCTTCTCCCCAGGGCTCCGCCTCTGATCTCTGCGCAGGCGTAGCGCGAATCTTTCCCGCCCTATAGTTGTGCGCGGATCTGACGACTGACGTAATTGCGCCGACGCCATTTTAGCCGGTCCCACACGCACTGAACGTGGCGGCCATTTTGTTTTGGACACCGAGCGGGAGCTGGCGGCGACGGCGGCGGCGGCGGCAGCTGTGGTGGTACAGACGCAAGGCTGGGAAGGGCAGGCCAGGCGAGCAAGCGGGTCGGCCGACTAGACAGCCAACCAACAACAACGAACTAACCTTGCAATCTACCGCTTACGCGTCTAACCAACCGCCCACCTAGTTAACCCGAGCCCCTCCACCGTCAACTGAGGTTCGGCCGGTCCCCGGCCCGCCTGCCGCAGCCGTGGTGGCAGCCCCGGGCGGAGCGCTGGCGTCCGTTTCCTTCGGTGCGTTTCTGTGTTAAGGAGGAGGGGGAAAGTCTTGGGGAGCGGAAGGGGCCGGCGGAGGAGGAATGAGGGCGGTGGGATGTGGACGCAGATAGGGCGTTAGAGCGTGGAGGCCCCGGGGAGGGGGCGGAGCCGCCTGAGAGGGACGCGGGGGAGGAGCTGAACTGGAACCTGGCGGCGGGATGGAGCAAGAAGGTTGGGGATAGGGATAAAAAGGAAAATTGTTCGGCGGGTTGAGCAAAGTTGAAGGTCTGGACAGGACTTTGAGGATGTTAGGGAGGTTAAATAAGGACTACAGGACTTTGAGGAACGTTGGAAATTAATGGCGGCTTTAGGGTTAAGTAGAGGGCTCTGTGGGAGCCAACTCCCAGGTGAATACCCATTTAGGAAACCACTTGTGCTTCCTCCCCCAGATCCCAAGTTCCTTACTAAAGCCCCTATCTGATTTTTTATTTGAAAGGCAATTTTGAAACTGCATACCTGTATTTTCACTGTCGATAAATGGTTCTCAGCATTTTAGCTGCACATTAAAAGCACCTAGGTAGCTTTTCTTCCATCACAATTACTAATCTCCAGACCTCACCACCAGAGATTGTGGTTTAATTAGTCAGGGCCCAGGCTTCTGGATTTTTTAGAAACTCCCTGGGTAAGTCATGCAGTCAAGATTGAGAGAGACTGCTATATATTAAAAACCAAACTCTTATACTTCCTTTAGCTAGATTTTGTTCTGCCATTTTTAGGACTTTGGCAGATATTTTCTTTCCTGTGGCCTTGAAGTGTTAATAATTTGAGGTAACTGCCATATAAACCTAAGCACTTGAAATGAGTTTTGATATGATCTTCAGGAGTCAGAGATAAGGCCTTTTCCCCTTGTAGAAATGAGTGGCCATAATTGTGATTTGTTCATTTTGCCTATTGTACTTTGTAGATTCTCGGGATTTGAAGATGGCTGCACAGTCAGCGCCGAAAGTTGTGCTAAAAAGCACCACCAAGATGTCTCTAAATGAGCGGTGAGGCAGCCAACAGCAACTTCAGCTCCTTCCTAAGAAAACATTACTTAAGTTGGCCCTGGGGTCCAATGCACAAAACCAGTTTTAAGCTAAATACCAACAGAAGGCTACAGACCTCTGTTCTTAGTTGCATCTTATGTGGTACACAAAACAAATTGGGCGGTTGTTTCAAAACCCCTTGTCAGTAGACTTTTATGTTAAACTATCTGAAATATTTATCTGGTGGGATATATTTTAAAAAGACTCCTAACACCCTCCCTTTTCTTCACATTTTTTTTACATTGATACAGGGGTGGTGCAGCACGGTAGCATGGTACCCTGGCTGCAATAGGCTTGCTGCCCAGTCCAAGGCCAGCAGTGTTGTGTTTGGCCTGTAAGAGGCAGGTAGCAAGCCATGGATATGTCCAAAGGCCCTTGAATGTCATTCTTGGGCCTTGTAAGAGGCACTTGCTTTGCTCCATTTCACTTTCTTTCCATTCTGCTTCTAGTTTGTTTTTGTTTTGGATTCTTTTACAGTTAAGTGTTCTTCTCTTCCTTTCCATTAAATTACCTTGACAGGAATAATACAGAGGTGTCTTCACAGGCTCTAAAATGATTGGACTTACCTAACTTTCTTAAGTAACCACTTGGAGTCAGAAAAAGTGATCATTTGAGACTAAGAAAAGTTAAGATATTTAAAGGCAGTTTCTACCTCTGAGAGCTTTGTTCATTGAGTGCCTTTGGCCAATAATTTATTAATTGATGTTAGACCACTAAGATTTATTTAGTGTCTGTTTTTGCCTCTTTTGAAGCATATGTGCTTCTCTCCTTATCTCTTAAGACGTGGTCACTATCTATATTCATGTGTTACTAAGTGACAAATATGTTTTTAAATTTGTTACAGTCTTATAATTTATATGAGTGCATCCGAAGGTACTCTAGCCCTTTCTCATATTTGGCCTTAGAATGCTCCCTCAGGTCTCCCAAGATTTAGGCTTTCTTTGTTTGTCTTTGAAACTGCATCTTCTGTCTCTTGTCATCATATCTGCTTATGGCGTGTTTTTCATACTTTCCACCTCTCTAAAAACTGTTACCTGAGCCCTCGTTATCACTTTTGATTGAATGTGCTGCACTTTGCTGCATTTCTAAGTTTCTCATTCTTGCAAGTTTGTGGAAACTGTGGAGTCTTTAACCCACATCAGCCTTGATCTAAGTGTACCACTTTACTTAAAAGTTCGTGGGATCTGGAGCTCCTGGTCTAGCAAGCCATGAAAATGCCAATAAATGTTTTGTAATAAAGCTTTTATTTAAACATCCATTTTGTTCGACCTTGAAGCTTTACTAATATGCTGAAGAACAAACAACCGATGCCAGTGAATATTCGGGCTTCGATGCAGCAACAACAGCAGCTAGCCAGTGCCAGAAACAGAAGACTGGCCCAGCAGATGGAGAATAGACCCTCTGTCCAGGCAGCATTAAAACTTAAGCAGGTGAGAGAATGGGTCTTAATGCTCCAGAAGCAGCTGGTGATCTCTGTCAGGCAGTCTGCTGAGGCTGTCAGGACGTGATGGATGATTACAAGGTGGCTCAGGGCAAAAGCTGAAACTTCTCTGGAAGAAAGAGAGGTTCAGAGAATTCAATTTTGGCAGGTACCGATAAGTAACTTTTTATTGTCTTTTTCTTTTTGGGAATCTGCCATCTATGTGGCCTGTTTCTGTTGTCAATGAGTATTAATCTCTTTTGTTTTCTGATCCTTTACCTTTAATGTAGATTATTGGCTTTTTCCACAAAGAAACTTTGTTTCAGCTTTAGATAATCATTAAAACATCTTTTACCCCCTGTTAAATGACTCACAAACTAGGGAAATAATTTTATACTTTCTCCCCTAGTGCAGGGAATCTTGAATGGCTTTACTCAAAGGTTTTCAATGCTAAAATGTAGAAGGAGTAGAATGACCCTCATTTCCACAACACCTGAAGTTTTATCAGTAAAGTGGAGCAAGAGTACTGAGTAATTAACTTGAGTTAGTGGGTTCTTTTTCAAATTTCCAGTGAGAGACAATCCTATTCAGACCTGAAATAAAACCTGCTCTTTATTATTCATAGACTTTATGTGCAAGTCTGGACAGTGGCTGTGGAAGGATATGTCCAAGCTGTGGCTGGCTGTCTGGAGGGCGATGCCATGCAACTGTAAGGACTCTAACTGGTAGCACTGCATGGCTGTGCATAAATTCAGCAGTTAAATATAACACCCTCCCACCCCCACCCTGAGCCATTGGGCTCACTGACCAAAAATAAACGAGGCTTTCTGCTTTAGCTACCTTAAGCCTTGGAGTGATCAGATTCCTCCCTGACTCAGGAAAGCAGCAAAAGGCACCATCGTTTTTCACGACTAAATAAAAATTGCTAGGCCAGGCGCGGTGGCTCATGCCTGTAATCCTAGCACTCTGGGAGGCCGAGGCGGGTGGATTGTTTGAGGTCAGGAGTTTGAGACCAGCCTGAGCAAGAGGGAGACCCCGTCTCTACTAAAAATTGGAAATAAATTATTTGGCCAACTAAAAATATATAGAAAAAATTAGCCAGGCATGGTGGCACATGCCTGTAGTTCCAGCTACTTGGGAGGCTGAGGCAGAAGGATTGCTTGAGCCCAGGAGTGTGAGGTTGCTGTGAGCTAGGCTGACGCCATGGCACTCACTCTAGCCCAGGCAAAAGAGTGAGACTGTCTCAAAAAAAAATTGCTGAAAATAAGTCTCTGACAGATCATTCCAAAGGACCTTTCAACAAGAAGCTTTAAGTATAGACTCTGCAGAAAGTAGCCACTGTCTAGAGTAGTGCAGTCCAATAGAACTTTATACAGTGATAAAAATGTTCTGTATCTGCTATCCAGTACAGTAGCCAGTAGCCACATGTGGCTATTTAAAACTTTGAATGTGGCCGGGCGCGGTGGCTCACGCCTGTAATCCTAGCACTCTGGGAGGCCCAGGCGGGTGGATCGCTCAAGGTCAGGAGTTTGAGACCAGCCTGAGCAAGAGGGAGACCCCGTCTCTACTAAAAAATAGAAAGAAATGATTTGGACAACTAAAAATATATAGAAAAAATTAGCCAGGCATGGTGGCACATGCCTGTAGTCCCAGCTACTCGGGAGGCTGAGGCAGAAGGATTGCTTGAGCCCAGGAGTTTGAGGTTGCTGTGAGCTAGGCTGACGCCACGGCACTCACTCTAGCCTGGGCAACAAAGCGAGACTCTGTCTCAAAAAAAAAAAAAAAAAACTTTTAAATGTGGCTAGTGGTTACCTTAAATGGGGCACAGCTCTAAAGTAGAAACTGGGTGGCATAGTTGATGTCTTTATGATGTTAGAGACCAATATTGGTGACAACTAAGGATTGGGAAAGGAGAAGAATTTTTTAGCACTATACAGTTCTCCACTTAAGTACAAAGCTTGGGAGAATGAATATAGTCAGGATCAGTGAACACATGGGAACTTGAGGAATGTGGTCTTGGCCTCATAATTGTGTGTTAATCAGGGGAGTGAAAGAACAGGCTCTTACAGTTGGTTACACCCACCCATGTTAGGTACATAATGTTCAGAGCCTTCCCCTCTGATTAGAAACAGTTTATGATCTTGTGCTAGAAAGCTAGTAATAATGCCTCACAGCATCTTTTTGAGGGGTATGATTGCAAAAAGAGAGACATTGGTAATCCCTTGTGGGTGACACATAGAATTTATTTTCATTCATATTAACCGATGGCATTCCAGAAAACCAGGCTTGCTAGGGCCTTGGTGTTACATTCAAGGATATACTATTTCTTTTTCCTTTAAAGTAATTTAATTCTCTAGGATGTGGTTTACCCTTTGAGAATAGGTACTGAAAATCTCTCTGTAGTACATCCTTGTCCTTACCTACGGTCCTGGGTTTTGTGATACTAGCTCACCTGTCTTAGTTCTAATAGAAGTTTGGCTGGCTCTCTGTGGAGATACATTTGAGTTGCATGTTTACTTTGAATTAAAGCTCATTATACTGGTTTAAAAGAGCTGTTTGCAAGGGTAGACATGGAATTACAAATTTTTAAGAAATGTAAGGAAAGGAGATTTGACTTTTTTTGTGTTTATTTACATCTTAAGGTAAAAAGTGGACCATCTGGAGATAGATACTCAGAGGAAAAATGGAGCACACGGGCCTCTTTGAGAAATCAGTCTTGTTCTTAAGTCACAAGAATTCGAATGAACTTATAATTTAAATTTTGCCCAGAGTATGATGAACTTCCTATGGAGTTTGAGTAAGCCTTGAAGATAATGATAGTCCTTGGGCAGGTATGAATCAAGTCGTATCATTGTCAACCTGTAGATCAAAAACAGCACAAGGCACAAGCAAGGATTGAGCTATAGAATGTTCTTACTGAAAGTTAAGTTCCAGTTGACAGTGTGTGACTTCTGTAGCCAAACTAGTGAGGTAGTTTGTGGTGATGCCAGTTTCATGGGACCATACTCAAGCTTCTTAGAGTTTCTGCTCTGGATCAAAATTCTGCTGCTTTTATATCATGTTCTGAGGCAAAGGCTTGCTTCTGGTTTGGGATCCTTATGACACCCACAGCAGGTTTACCTCCCTTCACGCCAGACATCTCACTTGCTTCTTTTTCTCTGCACTTTGAATTGCCAAATCCTGCTGGATTGCCTTTTTGATCTCAATCCTCCAACACCTTTTCTTCCAGAAGAGCTTAAAGCAGCGCCTGGGTAAGAGTAACATCCAGGCACGGTTAGGCCGACCCATAGGGGCCCTGGCCAGGGGAGCAATCGGAGGACGAGGCCTGCCCATAATCCAGAGAGGCTTGCCCAGAGGAGGACTGCGTGGGGGACGTGCCACCAGAACCCTACTTAGGGGCGGGATGTCACTCCGAGGTTAGTGCTGTGTACCTGATAACTGTCCAGCCCCACCCCCCTTTCCCTTTTCTCTTGGGCTGCTTATGGACACATTTGTTTAACATCTTTAAGCCTGAATTTGTATTAATGTAATTAATAACTTTTGAAATCACATATTTTTAATAGTGCTGCATGTCTTTTATCGATACCATTCCTTTTCTGATAATGTTCAATGGTGAGAGGCTATGACCTGCATAACAACAGGTAATTCATGTCATCTCCATTCCATTTTAAAACACCCTGCTGCTGCTTGAATCAAAGCACATTCAAGTTCTAGAAATAAGTCAAATCTAAGAAATTTATGGGTCTTCTGGCCTATATTGTAACTGTTTGTGTTCCTGGTGCTAGTAAAATGCTGTTACATCTGCAAAAAGAGAGGACAAGTAGACCCATAGCAGTTTCCTATATGTTACATTTGGGGCACTGTTATTCTGTTCCCTGTATAGTTCTTGTCCCCTACAGAATGTATTGAGATCAGGAACCATAGCATTTATTTTTAAATCTGCAATGCTAGGCATCTATCTGATTATTCAGTATGTATTAAATGTATGTACTTACTAATTAACTTAACTCCCAGCTTCTTCCAAAAATGGATTTGTGGTCAGACTTGTTGAATTGATTGAATAAAGAGCAGCTTTAATCCATTCACACTCAGTGTGCAGCTTGCCCCAACCAACCTAAAAATTAACTGAATTACTCTCATTTAACCCTCACTGCCTTCCTTTGGTTAGAATCTACTTTGTCTCTCTTGGATTTACCTGCATATACATTGTATGCCTCCTCTCCAAGGTCAAAACCTGCTCCGAGGTGGACGAGCCGTAGCTCCCCGAATGGGCTTAAGAAGAGGTGGTGTTCGAGGTCGTGGAGGTCCTGGGAGAGGGGGCCTAGGGCGTGGAGCTATGGGTCGTGGCGGAATCGGTGGTAGAGGTTAGTCAGCTACCAACTTCAGAGAGTAGCTCCCCCTTATTTTCCTCCTTTAAAAACTCAGAGCCACCTTTCTGCACAGCTTCAAGTCATAGGCAGGCTTCTTTGTTTGTCTTGTTTTGTTATTTGAAACTGGCTTATCTTCTAAACTCACATGCTGGTAGTGCAAAAGTCTGTCATGATTTCCCAAGAACCAGTCAAGTGCATATTACAGAGCCAGATTATATGCAGTCTTCCAGGCTCTTGGAAATTTAAATTGTATTGTTAAAATAAAAAAAAAAAAAACCACAAAATGGTCAGTTTAGGGTTTACCTTTCTCCATCTCTGCCCCACCACCACCACACATCCCACCCCATGGTTCCGAACCCCAGTTTGAGTCACATGAGAATAGAAAAGAGGGAGATGTACAAAGATAAAGCAGAGTTAAAGAGGGTGATGAGACTTGGAGCTGGGCATTGGTTCTGAAGCCAAGTTAATTCAATGTAAAGTTTGTGCCTATGGGAAACTAGAGATGACTTTTTTTGCTCCAGGCAAAAAACAAGATGGTATTATTATCAGTTAACTAACTGGCTCTTGTTGATAATCTTACCTTTGAGACTTCTTGTGATCTCATGACCCAGATTGGAAAAAGTTTAATGGTGTTGCTGTTAATGCCAAATCTCATGGGAGCCTTCTGGCTTAGAGCTTAGCGGAAAACTCCCAACAACACCTCTCCAGGATAAGAAATCTATTGTAGCCCCTGTGTATATTTGCTTTGGTCCTTTTAAAGCACGTGATGGGTCTTCCATAATTTATGATCTTGAAGTTGCCAAGGAATATTAACTGTTAGGAAAGGAAATTTGATAACCAAGGGCTTATTTTCTTTTCCCCCATTATATGCTACTTGGCCCATTGAGTGAAGTGCAAGCTAGTTTGGGTTTCAGGATGAAATAGCATGTTTCCAAATTACCATGACTTTAGTTTCTGAGAGAGACTAAAGTAGCTTTACAGAAAGCTGAGTGTGTTTTGTTACATGAACTGAAACTTCCTCTGAGACAACCACAGTTGTCAATTGTCATAAGGTGACTAGAATCAGGTAGAAGTAGCTGGGAGCACTCAAAATGTTTTTCCTCATTTCCCCACATTGCTCCTATGTCAGAATAACTCCTCAGTCTCCTGACACATAGGTCAGCTCATTAGACTTGAAAGTTTAAGGAGAGCTGAGATAACTTACCAGAAGGGTCTCCAATAAGCCTGATTTGAAAACTGTCTCTACCTTTACATCCCCGATTATCTGTGCCCTTGTTACTGCCTCCCTAGCTTACTAAATGGGGTTATCTAGCATGTATTTTAGTTATGAACTTACAGTGTGTCTCAAATATTAGGTAATTTATCTTAGGAGAGATTAAGGTTTTTTAAAATTATAATTGTTAATTATTTTCTCGATAGAAGAAAAAATTTTAAATAGCATTTAGAGATAAGCGTGTAATAAGGGATTCATTATGTGTGCTTTCCATGTGTTGCTTTCTACCCAGTGTGTTTCCTGTTTTTCCAGATTTCTCCTCTTTGCCCTGCCCTTCAGCTTTCCTCAGCTAGGCCCCACTGCTCTAAGGGGCATTTACTATAGCACCCATTAAACCTACTTGTAACTGTCTTTTTTTTTTTTCTTTGGGCCAGGTCGGGGTATGATAGGTCGGGGAAGAGGGGGCTTTGGAGGCAGAGGCCGAGGCCGTGGACGAGGGAGAGGTGCCCTTGCTCGCCCTGTGTTGACCAAGGAGCAGCTGGACAACCAACTGGATGCGTACATGTCGAAAACGAAAGGACACCTGGATGCCGAGTTGGATGCCTACATGGCGCAGACAGATCCTGAAACCAATGACTGAAGCCTGCCCTCCCTCCTGTGAGAGACTCTTGTTAAAGTCACCACATCTGTAAATAACTTTCAGATAACAGATGAGAAGAAACTTGATTGATGCTGGATGGACCTATGACAACAGGCTATGGACTTAACTTGCCACCAGTTTGTGCATTTAGGTGTTCCTTTCACTTTTTGATACTGTGTTGTATGAAACTTTTTTTCCTTTGATTTGGTTGGGGTTTTGGGTTTTTTGTTTTCCTCCTTTGCTCAGAATTCTCTTTGAACCCAAATATGTTGGCCTCGTGGCTAGAACACTCTCTTCCTACCTCTCCCTCCCCTCAACTGTCAGTAGGCTCTGACACACTAACATTTCTTCTCTTCATCTCTTTGCTCCCCCAGAAAAGTCCCAGAAAGAGCCAGCATCCTCCGTGATGCCTAGGTTTCTGAGGTTGTAGAGTTCAGTTCTACATCCTCTTTAATGGCCTCTTAGGAGTGTTTAGAGTATCTGGAGCTCAAAAATGCATTCTGCCACCTTGATAATTTAGTGTAGTAAATTGGGAACATTGACATCGCTATAGGGCCACATAACAGGTTACATGTGGTAGCATCTCTGATTTGATTGAAGTTACTACCCTGTGCATTGACCCCCACATAGATGATAACCATTTGTGCTGGGCTGAGTACGTGCACTTTCTATCCTAGTATGAGATTTACAAGCTTTCTCTTGGCTTTATATCGTATCCCAAAGGGGTCCTATTGGGTTGGCTTACACCTGCAATATAGAGGAAGAAGCCATATGGTTTGGCAGGTGGGTCAGAGGGAGAAGGATGGGAGGATGGTGGTAGATGAACTGCTGGGAGGGGTCAGAAGATACCCATGCTGGAGTGCAATTATCTTCTTGTTTATCCCACACCGATCTTGGGCTTTTCCTCTCAGTGGCTTTGTTTGACCCTGTTTTGTATCTTCCTCAAAGGTTTAAGTTCAGCCATATTCTGTCAACTGTTCCAGTTTCAGTGGAATCTTGTATTTCTGGTTAATTATAACAAATTGTTCTCTCAAATCCAGTCAGGACTTTCTCCTTATTTGTTGGGCTCCTTAAAATGCTATGGCTACTTTAATGATGTCTTGCTACCCCTTATATAGTAGAGTCCTTTTCTTCCTGGTTGTATTAAAATTCTGGGGGGGATGTTGCTTTGAGGCAGAAAGTGAAGAATGTGACCTCCTTTGATTAAGCCCTGCAGAAAGATGATCAACCCCACAAATTAATGGACTGACCCTTTTGACCCATGGGAAACTTGAGCAGGATGGGCTTTGGCAACATTCTGGACCCTTGAGCCCTGGCACTGGTTTCCCTTTTCTCTGTGCTGTTTAAGGAAAAAGAGGACCCTGCCCACCCCCAGCCAAACCAGTTGCCGTTGTACCCTAAACTGCTAGGAGATTGTGTGTATTGGGGGCTGGGAAGGCAGTTTTGATCAGGACAACCCGAACTTGAATCCTATCTTTGTGATGTGTGATGTCTGAGGGTCCCAGGGGGGATGGGCAGTGGGCAGTGGGGAGGGGATAGTAGAAGGCTAGGTATTACACAGTGGCTCAGCAGAGCTGAGTCCCCAGCTCAGCTCCCTTCATCTTTTCCATGCTGAAGCCCAAGGACTTCCCCCTTCTGGCTGTTGTCCTCCCCTGCACTACCAATAAGGGCAGAATGCTGGTATCCCTCCACCCCAGAGGAGACTAAGAGAAAGTATCCACAAAGGTGGTGACTACTATACCTCAGGCCCCCTTCTCTTTCACCCTCCTCTGTGTCCCTTCTTCATGAAAGAATAATTCATCCGCAATTCCCAGTGAGGCACAGGGAACTGTCCTATGAGCCATGGGCCCTCCAGCCCCACTTGCGGCTCACTGTAGTTCCCAGGGTCTCCTGACACCTGTGCCCACCTTGGCTATCCTCAGTTCTGAGTAGAATGGCACAAGGAGAGTAAACCTGGTCTCTAGGTCACCGTTTCATTCAACTGCCATCTGCTGAGGGCTTGCCACAGAGACGCAAACTAGGCATTATTTGTTGTTAGAAGGGGATTGGGAGCACAGAGGAGATGGATGAGCTAGATCTTGAAAGTTAAGTGGGGATTTTACACAGGGGAAAGTACTTACCAAGCACAGGGAACCAAATGTAAAGGTACATTGACCTCAAAGAACATATATGCCAGGGAAATTGAGTGTTCAGTGGGTCTCTGAGGTGGGATCAGACACAGCTAGTAAGATTGTGTAGGTAGCCTAAAGCTAAATTGTCTGCTAAAGAGCTTGGACTTTGTGTTTTGTGTAGTGGGCAGATAAGGTGGGATGATTTAAATAGAATACTGGTGGGCGATGAAGACAGGCTAGGGGGACAAGCTGCCACTCCTTCACCCTCCCCGCTACCCCTACCCTGGTAAGAGCCAGGCTTCCACCCCTCCTAAGTCCTAATGACTTAGGAAGCCTCATTCAGGCTTCCTAAGGCCCTCAGGCAGTTAATATCCCTACCCCCACCCCCAGCAGCTGAGCAGCACCTAAATGGGCTCTGTAAGTGGGGCAGGCCTGAGAAGGAGGCAAGGAAACGGGCTGTGACCTGGGGATAGGGCCTGGCCTGGCCTCTTTGCCCCCTTTCCTTTTCCAATGGGCTGTCCTGTCCTATTGTAGCCGCAGCCCTCCCATTGATGGTCCAGGGAATGTGGGAAGAGCTGGGTGCCCAAGCCTCCATTTCCTTGGGCTCTGGAGGCCTCCAAGCACACTTCTCCCTCCTCTCACTCTAAACACTCATGTACAGACAGCATTGCCACAATGGGGGTATATCTTCCGGCTTCTGACCCTGGACCTTCCCCAGACACCACCTTCCAGCCTCTTACTAGGATTTGCTGCATCTCCAGACTTCTGATTCTCTGTCTCCCAATTTTTAGCTGGATGTACCAGTGGGAGAGGCAGTCCAGGTGCCACCTGGCTGTCCTGTGCTGTTATGAATAGAATAGATAGCCATATGGACCAAGCAGGGGTCAGGGTGGAGCTGACCACCACCTACTCCTGCCTGTGTGGGCTCTCCCATCTGTACCACACCCTGGCTAGTGACCCAACCAGGCATACTGGGGGCCCTGGCTGACCGCATGGGCCAGGGGCAAGGAAGGAAGGAAGGATAGGGGGACATTGAGACCCCTGAGGGTGGGGACAAGTCCTGGACGGGTCTAGGACCTGTGATGGTGACAGCAGCCCCCAGTCATGGGCCTCACTGTATAGGGCAGGTAGTCAAGCAGGCGTGGGATAGCTAAAGCCTCTGTGAGGCCTCTTTAAAGGATTTACTTGATTCTCCATTTAGGCTTGATTTATTTATATTAATTTCTTTACCTTTAGTGTAAGGCAATTATCAGCTCAAGATTTAAATATATGCATAGGAAAAGGGAGGAAAAGTGTTTCCCAAAATGTCCTAAAGCTTTCCCCTTTGGATTTTAGTCAAAAGCACATACTCTAAAGGAATTTAATTTCAGGGAGAAAGCCAGATCAGAAAATAGAGAAAAGAAAGGAGATGGGGAAAGGTAGACGAAAAAGATAAAAGAATAAAGGCCCCCAGTGCCCTTCTCAGCACTGCTGAACCAGGACCCCACCCTCAGCCTCTGACCCCTTTGTGATAATCAGGAGTCCTGGAGTCTGGCCAGAAAATTCACCCGCGATGGGGGCTGTGGGCGATGGCAGCTCTCCCGGAGCACAAGTTAATAAGATGGCTGGAATCACAGGCCTGACTTCCCTAACCCTTCCCAGCTCCCACCCCTGCTGCTGACTCTTCGGTTCCTCCACTGAAGCATTGTAAGGCTTCCCAGACAGAGCTCTGGCCTCCCAGAAAGCGGAGTGAACCAGGATTATCCTGTCCCTGTCCTTTGGACCTAACAGGCCCAAAGAAGTCTGATTCTCAGGTCCTCCTCCCCAGTTAAAGGCATTATCAGACACCATTCTGTGGCCCCCCTCTCCCACAACAAAGACCTTCTGCTAACTCTGACCAGCCCCTCAGCCCTACCCAGGCTCCACAGTGGGTACAGGGTGCCCAGGCATAGGGGGCTATGTGACTGTACAGCATGAGCCAGCATTGCATGTTCCTGCAGAGCTTCCTCATGAACCTACCCCAGGACCCATCTTAAGGCCAGCAAAAAAACAATTGAGAGAACGGAGGGCCTGCGAAGTAGAGCAGAGCCAGAGCTTCCAGGAGATGGGAACAGACCTAAAACCTAGAACAGAAATGCTCACAGGTGCTGAAATACCAACAACACCCAACCCAGCATCCCAAGAAAATGAGCTGCTCCGGGATTCTGGCAAGGATGAGAGTTGGCAATGTGGGCACAGCTGGGTTGGCAGAGCATCCTGACCACCAGCCTCCTGCCAAGTGTTTGCCTGTGCCAGTCAGCCTATGGCAGACACAGCAGCAGAAGGCCACAGTTCATGCACAGAGGCTGTGAATGAGCAACTGACTCTTTGAGGGGCATTAGCCCTGCCATGGGTGAGTGGGGAGGAAGTCAATAGACTGAGATTACTGGAGGAACATAGGGGTGCCTGGTCCCATACAGCCCATAAAACTGGAGGGGTACAGGAAGTGAGTACTAGGAAGATTTTCCTAGTGGAGACACGAGAAGGGAGACGTTCAGACTGGAGGTGGCTGGGGTAGAGGGTCTGACCTACGTGATTCTTTTTTTTTTTTTTTTTTTTTGAGACAGAGTCTCACTGTGTTGCCTGGGCTAGAGTGCCATGGCGTCATCTTAGCTCACAGCAACTTCAAACTCCTGGGCTCAAGTGATCCTCCTGCCTCAGCCTCCCGAGTAGCTGGGACTACAGGCATGCACCACCATGCCCGGCTAGTTTTTTCTGTATATTTTTAGTTGTCCAATTAATTTCTTTCTATTTTTAGTAGAGACAGGGTCTCGCTCTTGCTCAGGTTGGTTTTGAACTCCTGAGCTCAAACAATCCGCCCGCCTCAGCCTCCCAGAGTGCTAGGATTACAGGCGTGAGCCACCGCGCCCGGCCCCTACGTGATTCTTGAAGTCAGGGAGAAAGCAAGATGTTTTGAGAGATGGTGCAGAGCTTAGGCCCAAATTAGAGTATAATAAAGTCAACCTAAGCTCCATTCCCTCTGCCCACCCAGGCTGGTAGAGGCTGCAGGTATCGTGATGGTACAGGCAGTACCTATGCATCCTCTGCATAAACATTGTAATGGCTGGCAGCCG